GCCCAGACCGCAGCCTGACAAATACCCAAACATACACAATCGCACCATCCCACCCTCAATCTCACCCCCACTCAGTCAAAGACATACAAGGACGCCACATTCCACTCATACCCCCATTAAAATTTTCATCCTTGTTTTCTAAAATACAACATACTTGATGTTGGTTTTGTCTTGAGCGGTCTGACAGTGTAGTCTCCRTGCTTGTATTTTGGAAATTCTATGGAGTATCTCAGTTCCCTTGTGGCTGTCACAGCGTGTGACCTGCATGCATTTTCATTGTAATGAAGTGCAGCAAGCTGTAGTCTAAAGACAAATTTAAAAAAAGATAAATCATTTTTCTATGCTTGGATCCCTGACAATACATTCCAGTTATGCTGTACATTTGATAGAATTTACCTGCACAACATTCCTTTGAAAGAAAACGACACACTCTTGGGGGCGAACTTCAAAATCAAACTGTGGAAAGCCTCTAGTGGTGATGTGTGGTACTGTGGGCTTTTCTTCTGAACATCCTTTAGTAGATGTGGTGCCATCAAAAGGGATGTGAACTTTTCACATGCTGCTGTGCCTAAGAGGTCATGCGTATTTAGTGTTTCGTCAAAGGTTCTCAGTGATTTATTGATATACATGTATACACACACTTACTTGGTTGGAGCCACTGTCTTGCCTGCTCTCCAAACAGAGGCTTGTGTAGGCACTGAGGGAAGAGTGCGTTATCGTGGGTTTGTATGTTTTGGATGTGGTTGGCCACTGAACTCCACGTTGCCACAGCCTCTTCTCCTGATGCAGATGTCGAAGCCGCCCAGTAGAGGTGATTTACAACGCTCTTCCTCCACTTGCCCAAATCTTGCAGTCCTCTTACTTTAGCCATGGCATCCATTTTTTCCTATTTCTATTCCTAAAAACATCACCACAATAAACGTAATAAGAAAACATAAATATCTAAGTACACATTAATGATCTATATACTTGCCTTTCCCCATATTCCAAGTATCAAAGAAGTGTTTGATGTCCTATTTTTCTTCCCTCAGGAACTTCTGGACCCCCGTATGTCTGTCTGTCACTATGGACTGCACTTTAAGACCCCTTTGCTCCAGTACAGACAGACTCCTTTTAAATCCCTCCTTCTCCATCCTGACACTGTTTCCAACTTCATTGCTTTGTCAATACAAACTATGTATTAGCAATGCACGATTCATACCAGGTGCTCTCATGTAGGTATTCTTCTTACCTGGACAAGTTGGATGTCCAGTATGCTGTTAGCAG